TTGTACTTTACAGCAAAGATAACTTTTTGAAAAAAAGGTAGCCACCTTTTCATATCCGGCCTTTTTATTTAGAATTGGAGGATCCTGGAAGCTTGTCTTGTTGGAAAAAATGACCAACCACAACGCAATAAACACCGAGGATGCCCCTTATTGGTTAATAAACATAAACCAACCACAACGCAAGGAGCAGCGAGGATGCACCTGATTGGTTACACTGCAAACAATAGAATTGTTGGTAGAATCCTCCTTTGGATCCCTGGCGATGGTATTTAAACACATAATTTCCTGTTGCTTGATTTATAACACAGAGCGACAATGAAGACGATAATTCAAAATGTTCTTGCAGTCGGTATGCCACATTATGGCAAAGATAGCTTAGTCGTTGGAGGAAAGTACAGACTTCGTCGAGACAAGCACAATCTTCGAGACTGCTATGCAGTTTCAGTTGTAGATGGCGACGGCGTCAAGAGGGCAAGCTTGAAGAGAGATTCAGCGAAGATTTTGTCAAAAATATTCGACCACCCCAACTTGTCCGTCAGCAAGACAATCGGCATCATTTTGAAACCGAAGTCAACAAGGTTCCTCCATTCACCGCGTTTTGGTGTTGCTCAAAGGTGTGCGGTTGGTTTTTTCTGCAAGCCTGAAGATAAGGATGAAATTCGGCGTATTCTTTCCACCAGCAACCTGACATATAGCTTCATATAAACTTTGAAGAGTCCAACAAAACAAACCGTCCTTATCAGGACGACCAAACGAGAAAAGAGATGGTTCATGTGTCTGTTTCGTTTATTTTATTAGTAAGATATCAAATAAGTTTAATGATCTTGTAAACAAAACTAACACTAAGAGAAGCGATGTATTAAACAAATATCTTATGAACGTGATTAACAAATTATAGGTTTAAAATAAAGGAAAAGAACTTTAAATACAAAAAAAAATAACAACAATTTTTTAAAAATATAATAAATTTTTTTTGTTACGTCTCCCCCGGTGTGACGGGATTATTTTCGTATGGTATATACATATAGGCGACGCTAGTTTTTGTATTAGTCGCCGGTAGAGGGCGCAACATCTGGCTCGGAGGGACTGGGCAAGTCTACGAATCTGATCCAGCGTGCGTGTTGCAATATCTTCAGACAGCGCGTGGACCATCGTTTCTTGCCGCTGATTGGGCCGCACTGCATTATCAAAAGGCCAAGGAAGGCCAGGATCGAAAACCGCAAGCAAGTATGCACAGCGCGCGTTGGCTGAATGGATGAAGGTGGGTATCAATTTACATTGGTCTTTTCTTCCTGGCTCTTCATGTGACCAGCCAATGTGGTTACGGTTTAATTCATCCTCCGAATAGTGTGATCGTTCTAAGGCAACACAATGGCCCCTTTGTGGCGATATACCGACACTGGGTGACGCCTGGTGTTCTTTTGTGTGCAGTCAAACATGCGTCTTATGCGGCGGTGCGCCTTATCTGTTGGCGTTTGAATTTTTTTGGGTGATTTTAGGGACCTGCGGCTTATCCGCCGTGCGCCTTATCCGCAGGAAATTACGGTAAGTCTGCTGCATTATCAGTATTAAGACTTGCAAAACATGATTTTTAAGAAAGGATACATCAAAGTCTTCATATTAGTAGATGACATCCTGTATCAACATCCACCTCCACAAAATGTTAAGACCAGCAAATATAATATTTCTAAAAAGCAACAAAGCATGTATTTGTTTGGCTATTATGTGCATCTGTTTCTGGTAAACAAGTCAGGCACTAAAGGTTTGTTGCCAGAGGGGAACGCAGTTGTTAGAAAACAGATGACTAAATTTGGTGAAACTGAAGAAAAGGCCATTCAGTATCAAATATCACTCAAATTGATCAAATATCTATTTGAACTAATTTAAAAGGAACGGTTCTTCAACATTTCTGAGAACTGTATTACTATGCATTGACCATATTTTGAATTCCCTTATGGGCAATCCCACATTCAGGTCCACCACCAGCCGACATTAACACCAGCCAATTCACATTCAGGTCCACCACCAGCCGACATTAACACCAGCCAATTCACATTCAGGTCCACCACCAGCCGACATTAACACCAGCCAATTCACATTCAGGTCCACCACCAGCCGACATTAACACCAGCCAATTCACATTCAGGTCCACCACCAGCCGACATTAACACCAGCCAATTCACATTCAGGACCACCACCAGCCGACATTAACACCAGCCAATTCACATTCAGGTCCACCCTGTCCATTTGGGTATGTGGGTTTTTGAGCATCCCGGTTTCTTGGTTAAATTGAGTTAAAAGCAGAGTTTAGATTTGACTTCAACCAGTTTTATATTAACTGTTTAATACCACTTGATACATAATTTTGACCCCTTCAGGTCGGAACACGGCAACAGTGTTGTAGGTCTAGACGCAGGTCTTGGTATCAAGACCGGTCTCAAGACCAATTTTTAAAGGTCTAGACAATTTCAAGGTCTCAACTCAAAGCACTCGGTCTAGGTCTCGATCTCAGAGCAAAAGTCTTGAGCAAACAAGCCATAAATATATGATCAGACCTTATCTGTATAGGCTCTTGAAAGTTTCAACGGATGGCAGTATCGATTTGGAGAAGTAAAACCAAATAGTCTGTTACATACGTGTTAGCGCATTTTTAGTGATGCAAACTCTCAAAAGGTATATGGGTATAACAATGCGCGTGCATGAATACAAACATTTTTTATAGATAGCAGTATCGATTGGCATTCGAATTCTTTCATGATTCAAAAAAAAAATTACATTGTGTCGTTATTTAATGAATTTATCATTAAATATGCTAATTAGTTCAAGGTCACGGTCTTGGTCTCCCCCATAAGGTCTCGGTCTCGGTTTTGGATCCTAAAGTCTCGGTCATCAGGTCTCGGTCTTGGTCTCGAGCTTTCAGATCTCGACTACAACACTGCATGGCAAATGATGAAAAACCGCAGAATGCAGCAAACCACTAATCCCCACTGGTATGCATGGTACCGGTGTTTTTGCGGGGAATGTGCTGCATTCGCCCCACAGATGGTAGCTGACAAAGGCCACTTTGTTGCCAGTAATATACAACTCGTCCTTAACGGGTTAACTATTTATAAATACCATTTGAAGCAGAAAAAAATTGCTCCAAATTGGCAAACAATAGTATAATTTTAATCTATAATTTCGAATGATTTAAAAAAAAAAAAAAACCACCTGTGGCCTTGGAAAAGTATGACATGATGTACTGGTGTACCGCTATAAAGCAAAAGAAATGTATTTATGTCGGATTCAAGGAAGCCAAAAGTTTATGAAATGGAAAATCAGTGTAAATGACTTAAATCCACACCGACCAAGTGTTCAAATAAAAGCCCTAGAAATAGTTACCTGATAAGTTTGTGGTTCCCATCAATATGCCATAGTGAGTTTGGCCCAGCAACATTATATACACTTCTCTCAAGCCTCGGGTGAAGGGCTCGAAGTGCAACTCCAGCTGGGTCAACCCTCTCCATGGCATCTCGGACCCTCTGCCTCTGCACTTTAATCCCTCTTGACTTTAGCCTGTCTCTGGCCCCCTCGGAGCCAACATTCTTGTTATGCCCAATCACCTCTCTAAGAGTCATATCCAGGGCATCATCACTCAGGTCACAATAGCTGCCAAGTTTTATTTCAAACTCACTGAGTACATGACAAAAAAAAGAGAAAAAAACTAAAAATATTTATCATCTAACAGAAACTCATTTTTTTATACAATGGTTTATAAAGAAATCTAAGTTGTGCTCACAAGGGCTAAGTTCGCCCAAGGACTATAGTTGACCAATGGTTAACTAACGTTTGCTCAAACTCTGTCTAGTCGACGGTGGTTGACTACGCTAGTCGACTATTTGGAACCAACCTACTGGGGTTGGTTGCTTCACTGGTAACCAATAGCCGCGCGCATTCATAACGCAAGCAGAGAGCCAGGATCCAGTAGTTTTGCGACGACATTTTGACCAGCGTTTGACTATAGAGACGTTCGCACGTGGCTATCAGTGCGCAGGCGTAAGGTACGTCACAAATCAACCACTAGTCGACTAATGGTTCTTTCCCCGAACTTAGCCTTAGTTACAAACAAGCATGTATGAGACAGTGGTCCTTTTACAGATTATTCATAAATACCTCAGACAGTTAAGCTATTCCTATTGGTCGAGAGCCCGTCACGTGGCCGGTCTTAAACGGATGATAAAGACATGGCTAGCTGGTCTTAAACACTTTTCCAGTGTCACAATAAAATGTGGACTCCTAAAAATCCAGTGCCTCTTATCGTTTCATTGGTTGAACGTTCACAATCCTCACGTAGGCATGCGCAACACTACCAGGGAGTCAGAATTTTATAGTTCTAAATTCAAAACGCAACGCGCCAGGTGCGTTCTGCGCGACATCGTGCAGAACATGATACGCGCGCGTCAATCTCCATAAAAGGGTTGTTTACATCTTACTCGCCAGCTGAACACTTCATTATTTTGCAAGAGGGATGTTTCAAAAAGCATAAAGTGAATTTGTTGAACAAAATCGGGATGTTTTGAACGAATTATATGATTTTTTCTTACCAAAAAGGTATTTATGAATGGGAATAAATATGTGCTCCGTCGGTATTTATCACTCTGTTTAAGACCACTTAGAGTCTGGGTGCTGATAATTACCCTCGCCTCCGGCTCGGGTAATTATCAGCACCCAGACTCTAAGTGGTCTTAAACAGAGTGATAAAAACCTCCGAAGCACACATTTATTCCCTTAATAATGATCCAAAATTCTAAAGTCGTACAGAGCATTCATTTTGTTCATATTTAGGATGTTCTAATGTAGGATATTGCTGGCTGTGATGCTCTCTTGTACCGTGGATTTGGTTCTGAGGTGCTGATGGACATCTCACAGCTGAATTTATCATTAAAAGTATACTTTTTTATAAAAATAATCCTCAAAAGATATTTCAGGAATGAAAATCACTCAGAGTTGATGGTTTAATCATGCCCGCCCGCGTGGGGCGGGTCCGCCCCGACATCCCGCCGGGTCCCGGAACCCATGGCAATCAGACGGCCCGCGCGGGCGGACGAGAGTCGGGGAGCCCAGGCCCCCTCGCACCTCGACCGCCGGGCGGGACCACCGATCACGCCCGCCGCACTCCCGCGGCGGGCGGCAGCAGGCGGGGCGCCGAGCCGCAGCCCCGGCGGCGGAACGGGCGGCGGGCAGCAGCCCGCCGGGCGGCGGACCGAGGCGGGCCCCCTCCCCGGGGGGACCCAGCGGACCGCGGGATTGAAACGAGGGGAGTAAGAGGGCGAGGGCGCCGGGCGGGCAAGAGCGGGCCCGCCCGGGACGGCCCCGGAAGACAGAGAGAGCCGAACGGCCCGTGCGGAGGCTCGAGAGAGAATGACACCGGGGAGGCAATTTCTGACCACTTTAACCAATGTTTTTTGGGAGGAAAAGATGGTGGTGTACTCATTGCCTGCCTTTATTGCGATGTCACATAAAAAAATTTAAAAATTGGTTTCGTTTTGGGGGGGCCATGGCCCCCTTTGGCCCCCCCCCCCCCTGGATCCGCCCTTGAAAGATTATAAGGATAAAGGCACCTGTAAGTGTAATTGGGACTGATAAATGATGAGTGTCTTTTGGGTCATCTAAAACTCATAATCAGTTTTGTGGGTCTCTAGACCTGGTCTTGGTCTTGAAACTTGCATTGTCTGTCTCATCTCTAGACCTTTGTTTTATGTCTTGCTCTCTGTCTCGTTCTCATCTAGAAGAGCTGGTTTTAATCTCCAAATTGCAAGTATCAGTCTTGGTCTCAGTCTCGGCCAGCCGCAACGGCTTTGTGTTTTACCCTCGGGACCCGTCAACAACACACAACTGATGTACATGTACCGGTATTAATGTAGCCATTATTTCAAATAAAAATGACGGTGTCAAAACATGTTTGAATGCTCAACAATTACACAAACTAATGACCAGAAAAAGAACTAGACTGGTGCCTACATAATTATGTGCACTGTTTTGCCCTGTATTTTACATCCCCTGAGTGTTTGAGTGTTGAGCACTTACGGAAAGAATACACACACACACAAACAAACAAACAAACACTCCAACAAACAGACAGACAGACATCTTGACAGACAGACGTCCGGACAGACAGACAGAGACAAACAAAGGTTTTGTGTGTTCCATGACTGAGTCAAGACTGTTACTGATGAAGATGATAACCTACCTAAGTCGTCTTCTGATGGTACTTTCTGACACACCCAATGCTTCCGCCATGGTTGTTGCTGGAAGTCCAATTTGGGTTAAGAAGCTTAACTGCTCTTTGATGATGACGTACCTGTCAGCACTTTAGGTGCTGCATATGAACAGGGTGCTGTCAACAACAACAAAAGATTTTTGGAAAAAATGTCATGTAAGAAACAGTAATCCTGTAACCAGATTTTCTTGTCAAATCAGTTATAACTAATTTGGGACTTAATTTTTCATTGGTATTTTATAGTCAATTACAGTGAATAAGTGTAAGGTTTTTACTGCACTTTCAATTAAAAATAAACGGGAATAAAACTTCTTTGCAACTTCTTGGTCCTTTCAGTGAATGGCGCCTTGAAAAATAATTTCCAAATTGAATTGATAATTTTCTTCCATTGAATTTGTTTTGAGCTTTCCAATGATATTGACCCACGATTATAGTATTTCAACAATTAAATTGCAATTTTCAATTACAGGTGACACACTCCTTATTATGTCATCTTTTATTTACGTACCGTGCGCATGACGCAGTCATCATATACAACTTGCACAGGACGTCACCATTAAGATTATTCACTATGGCCGAAACGTACCACTGATAAAACTGGAAATTTTTAGTTTTGAGAGCCAAACAATCTCACAAAGAAAGTTTCCACATGGTACTACTGCAACCTACTTGGTCTTAGTATCTTTCCAATATGCAAACATTTAAATTTCTTCATGTACCTGGAGGATTGCGGAGAAGATTACGGGTTTCTTCAAGAAACTCATCAAGATGTGTGATGAATTCATCCGCTTCATTGGCAGTAATTAGGGTTGACCTGGCACGGTTGACCTGCCTTTTCAGGGATTCAGCACTGCAAAACATGACATAAGTTAAATTGTATTTGCATGTATCTACATGTAACATACTTATTATATTAGTCGTGATAGTTAGACTCCGGCAATAAAAATTTAGAAAAATGTTGTCATGTTGATAAAAAAACAAAATAAGAAATTTCTTATCTGCCTAAACCTAAATAAACCTACTAGTTATTCACTGAGATTAACGTTGTAACTTGTATCAAGAAAATAATTCCGTACACGGATGTCACTTTTTCAACAATAAATTCGAGCCCCAAAAATTTGTTTCCTGTGTGTTTGTCATTCAAAAACATTGGAAGGACACTGTACTACATGTGTGGTCATCGTACATGTACATGCACACATACATGTGCATTGCAATCCCAGTATACATTTTTGATTGTCATGAAACAGTCCTTGCTGCATTGTCTGATCTGCACACCACAAAATGCTTTTAACCGACGTCATCATCACATCGTCACACTGGTCACATTTCACGGATTTTGTCACCTTGCAATGAAATGAGCTGGAGTATCATCGTAGCACCATTATTTCATCTTGACTTTTGAGATGTAAAGAAGACAGTAGGCATGGTACTTGGTAGCTCTACTAAGTGGAGCGCTGTATTACGGTACCCATCCGTACACCGTACTGCTACAGATGATTAGTGGTATGGATAGGTACCATAGTACAGCGCACCACTAAGTAGAGCTAGGCATAGGTACTTGATTTAGCGTGATTTTTAACAACTTTTGTTGGGGACTCAGGAGAGGTGAGGCAAACTAGTGGTAACTTTTAGAAATTGGACTTTGCGGCATATATTTGTGTTGAGTCTCTTATAGTTGTACGTAGACCGTTGTCTGCCAGATTCATATCCAGGAGTCTGACTCCTTTTCTGGCCACTCTTCTGTCACTACCCACAGAACCATTGGTAACATCACTTGTAACACCACTATTGTCATATATCTCATTTCTTGCAGGGTCTGTGGAGTGCAGTATGTAGGTGAGACTAAGAATACGCTCAAGAAGCGTTTCTATGCCCACCGGTCAACGGTCAACACCAAGAAACTAGACACCCCTGTTGGTCATCACTTCAACCTGCCTAACCACTCCATTTCTGATATGATTTTGCAGGGCATTTAATCTCTTGGCCATTGCAAGGACTCAGTTCGCCTCAGCAGAGAGAAAGTGTGGATGAATCGTCTTCGAACTATTCAACCACATGGTCTCAACATCCAACTTGGAAATGATTAATCCTTTTTTTCCTCCATTGTCTTCTGTTACAGATAATCCATCTGGTCTTCCTTGTTTGTGTTTACCCATCTTCCCCCATCTTTCATCCCTTTCCACCTCCATACTGTCCCCCCCCCCCCCCCCCCCCCCCCCGCATCATCCCTTCACTCTCACACTCTTTTGTCGGTTCCCACTCCCTGTGACCTTTGATCCTTCCCCTTTCTGGTCCCTCCCCTGTTCACACCAGACCCCTTGTGGTTTGCCATCTCCCTTTGTTTCTTTGTTCTCTCATCCACCCTCCCCTGCATCTTTCTACACCTTTCCCACTTAATCCTCCTTTTGTGTTTCTTCTTTCAGCCCTGCATGTTTGTGTGCACCCCATGTTAATGTATGTACCTCTGTCATTTCTGTTTTAGCCTCTGAAGAAGAACTTGCTAAGTTCGCAACGTCAGGCCACATTAATTTTAAGATTTATATATTTCAGGTCCATCCAGTCAGTAAGCAGTTTGCAGCAGTTTTACTTTTTTACATCTTTATAGGCTAATCAGAAAGTGCTGCCTTTTTCAGATGACTAATCTTTGTGAAATTTCATGTTGAAATTTTGATACGCAAACGTAAGACCCGTGAACGTGGCTATATACATAGCCACGCTTCAGTCTATAATAAAAACACTCTATTGTTATCCGTGGTTACTAAAATTGAGTGACCATTTTAGCCGAATTTCGGCTACATTTGACAGAATATTTGCATACAAAAATGAGTTGTACAGAAAATCAGCAGAATCTTTTTTTCGGCAGAATTATGAAGATGAAGGAAAATGAAAAAGATTGGAAAGAAATATGGCACATTTGGTTTGAAAAACCTTCATTTTATAAAAGATCCTTAAAACAAACCCTTGCAGTTGCACAATGGAACAGCAATATGGGTGATTTGGCAGACTTTCGAAGTGGATTTAGCAGAATTTTGCATGGTATTACGGTCATCCTGCCTTGTAAGATGGTTAGTCGGGTACCCACTGGTGATACTTCTTCCGTTTTGCGCATGCGAAACTCGGGGTACCAGAGTGTCATGCCTGTCTTTGATTTTCTGATCATTTTGAAAAAAATTGTTGTACAAAATTGTGCCGTACTTTACATCAAATTTCTTGGCAATGCCAGATCCAACACTCATGGTTATATGTAGCGGATTAAAAGATAGAATGCTGTCGCTTGTATTTACCCGACGGAAGCGCGTGGCGTTGTATACTATACAACGCCACGTTCATGACGTTCACGGGTCTACGCAAACGTCATGAACGTGTGAAAATGAATCTGGAAATTTCAAGAAAAATAGCATTTGAAAAAGGCAGCACTTTCTGATTAGCCTAGAGGGTGAGTATGCTACTAAAGCAAAAAAAACTTACAAACTAAGCCTAAATGTAAAAAACAAAATTTGTCAAAGTGCGACACGTTTTTGTACATGTGGATGTGTGGCCTATGATTCGGAGGCAGTCAATAGGCCACATTTATGGGGCTATACTTATAGCGTAGAGTGGGGCTGTTGTGCCCATTCTTGAAAATCACGCAATCTTAAGAATGTGCGCGCATTCTTAAGAATGAGCGCCCATTCTTAAGAACGAGCACGCGTTCTTAAGAATGAGCGCTCATTCTTAAGATTGGGTGGGAATATCACGTGCACAATTATGAATTTTGCCCAATCTTAACAAACATTGCACGACATAATTATGTTAAATGAAATGTATAGCGGTTAAAAGGGAAACAATTTATATAAAGAGGAAAGAAAATGTTCTATGCTTCTGTACTCGTAGGGCCTATAACTACGATACTTTGAATCAAATTAAACCTGTTATCATTGCTTTTTTCTGCCCACTATGGGAAGTTTTGTAATAACCGAGGACTGGGAACTAGTCTGGGAAGTGCATTGTTTAGGCTAGACAAGTTACAAGTCCCTGTATGTATCATATGCATGCCACGAAAAAAAAACGATGTCCAGAAGCTGCCAAAATTGCTCTTTTGACTAGATAGAATCCAGCTCTGCGACGTAATGGTGGGGTGTGAACAATAAATTGGTGGCTATTTAAATGGGAAATAGCATTAGCACTATGGGATGTCGCAGTATTCATTCTCATTCTTCACATTCTTCATTCTTATGTTCCCCCCCCCCCCCGCTTTTATTATCCCAAAAATCAGAATTCTACTATTATTAATATTATGTCTCTTATTTTTTCACGGTCCCCCCCCCCCAATATCAATACGCCTATAGATACTTATCATATCCACTCTACTTTTCAGCGCCTTGCGTTGCAACAGTATAATTATTGAGAATCAGTGAACGAGGATGCAGCTACTGAGCTAGACTTGCCAAGCGCAGCCGGTGCTCGGCATCGACAAGACCGTTATCTTGTCGCGCATTCTTAAGAATGTGCGCTCAATCTGGAAGAGTTATTTTTTGCGAAGATTGCGCAAGGATCCAGTTGCACATTCTTAAGAATGTGCATGCACATTCTTAAGAATGCGTGATTTTCAAGAATGGGCACAACAGGGCTAAGTC